ACTTCGCACTTTGGGATCATGGGTACATTATAAAATTGATGATCAACTCCCAGTATTCGATTAGAGTTGCTTAATAACTGGCGGTGGGTGCCATTGAATAGCTGCCTTCCTTCTAGTCTATCAACTTAAAATTTGGAACAACTAGCGTATCTCTTGTGTAGCTTTGCGCGAATATCATAAAAACAAACTCTTTGATCCACAGCCCAACACACCAATCACTAGACCACACATGGCTAGTATTGTAAGGTACAAACAAGTGTTTCCAAAACGCTGACGACACCCTAACCCACTTACCGTGATTTGTACTACACCCCTGTTGCCAAATACGTTTTTTGTAGAGTTTTTTATACTTTATGCTTGCTAATTATTCTTCGTTAGGTGAAACTCTCGCGACACCACTAGCAACTTGGGAACCACTGATATAAACCAACAAATGATAAAACCACACCTACACACAATATTTTTGTAATAATTTTCGATAAATTACCTAGCCCTGGCGTTGAACCTTCTATTGATCACATATACCTGTATTTTGGAGGCTTACCTCAGACAAAGTTCTAGACCTTAACATTTGGGGTCTAAAAAAAGATTGCGGTCTGGGGTGATTTAAAGAAATATGTTAAGCTTGGATTGCGTTGGTCCATTCTGGGATAACTCATATTTTTTATTCACTACCATAAAATAAACATTTTTGTAAACGTTGCCTTGAAAAGTTTTTTTTGTGTGATTGGGGGGGGGGGGCTTGGCAGAAATTGTGAGGGCTTTACTCCCATCCTGCAGGTGGTTGATCCCATTTCGGTTTACATACACGTAAGCCGAAACGATATTCATCTCTTTATTAATAAGAACCTCTGAACGAAAGTAAAGAGAAGTAGTGTATAATGATAAGTTTGTTTGTGTTAGAGAAAAGCCACATTAGGTTTTCCATAATATTAGACCAGTAAAATAACCACACGCTTTTCTGGCCTGGATGGGGATAATGATAAGCTAACCATACTGTATCTGCTACATCCAGTGCCGACGAAGCATTTCGCCCAATACCAGGGCTCATCAAGCTGAGACGCTCCTACAACGCTAGTAAGTACTTTAGCTTAATTTCAGTTACACTTCTTACGAACCAAAGCACATAGAGTCTTTTTAAGTTTTATACTATTTTCACAACTTTGAAAAATCTTCATTAGTTTTATAATTTATGATCTGAATTAAGTAAACACTAATATCTGGTATTATTTCTTGTATTAGATTTTGACAGTGTTTACACTTGTCCATTACTAATTGATGGTTGCTCTGATATCGAGCTTATTAATACATCTTTACTAATAAAATAAAAATCAGTTACAAAATAGCTCAGTATCAACACGTATTACAGGTTCGCTAAATTTTGAACAGATGACATAAAAGTTGGATTTTATTTTGTGTTGTGTTAAATTTGATCTTATTAAACGTGTACAACTCGCATTGGATTATGGTAAAATTAGTAATTTATTGACTGTAATCGTGACATTTTAACTTAATTCTTATAGTACTAGTCATGTTAAACGTATTAATACTGATTTTTAAAAACATGAAAATTATACCATTTTCTTCTCATCTGTTCTTGAATTTTGTCGTTAATAAAATGACATGGAAGGAGATATAATAATGTTAAATGACATCATTAGCATGGCTTAACTCGTTTCAAAAGTGGGTGATAGTTTCTTTATATGGGGCACGATGAAGTTCCAGCTAAAATTTAAAAAAAAACATGGCTCAACTGGTATGGTGATGAGTAACTTACAGAGAAATATACGTTTTAGTACTACCGCAATGTAAGAAGAACGTTTAGGAGTCTTTGAGAAAGTGAGGGGGCCATGTCCTCCGTGTTCCCCTGTCAATTGCGGATATAAGTAAAAAAAAAACATTGACAGACAGAAACAGAACTTTATTGATATTCCTCATCATTACGTACACAGATTACCGTTTCCATATGAATCAATGACTTAACTTTCAGACACAGTTTTTCCTACGAAGACGATATGATAGTGTTGTAAGGAGGCTTATGTCTGAGAGAGCATTGGTGTGCACCTAAATGTTTACATACGATTTTACGAATTTCATATCAAAAACAAAACAGTTGATTAACGTGCTTTTGATTTCATGAAAATGCTGATATTATTTGTTTAATTTTTTGCTTCAAAACATTTAACGAAGGTTGAAATTAGTCACGGAAGCGCAAAAAAAAAAACATCTCTCTTCCGTTTGCTCTCAAGTTTCTAACTCAATTTCAGTTCTTCGTTCGATGATATTTCTTAACAAAGTAATCAAGTAAGAAAGAAACAAGAAGAATTTACCGACGAATTTCTATAAATTATAGAAGTATGAACACGTCACGGGATTAGGACGCAGTGTTCGATTGACGAAAATCCACACACACACAAAAATGTTACCGTGAAATATACAGGTATTAATCAAATAATAATGCTTGAAAACAACCAAACGCATCTATTGTTGCACGTATAAGACTGAACAATAAAACTAGCATACATAATAGTTCTTATACTGGTAAAGATATCTAAGAATGTCTGCCCCCTGAACAGCGAATAGCATTATGTAGAAGTCGTGGGTACTAAGGCCTGTAACGTACCATAGCTAAGGTACAATTCCTAGACATTTATATTATTTGTAAACAATGATGTTAAGACACAAGTTTTTAAATATACTTATTAATTTCTTTCCTACGTTAACTGTCCCAAAAATTGAAGAATTTAACCTTTTTCTCCTTCAAAAAATCATTCTTATGACAAGCTGGGACAGATACAAGTATTCTATTAACTCCTACCGTGATTTTAGGTTCATAATTATAGATAAATAAGTTGGTTTATCGATATTTAACCCATCTAAATTATCTGTAAAATAGTTCTAGAAGTGATCAATGAACATGTTTGTACTTAAACGCCTTTGACGATAATTTAAATAACTATGTACCTTCTTCATATTAGAGAACCAAACAAATGTTTCATTGTGTTTTACTAATCGTGCCTGAAAACTTTGTTAAATTGAGCTCTCTCCTGAGAGGCTGATTCGAAGTTAGACAAAAACGCCAATAAACGAACACTATTATCTATCTCACATTTTACACACAATATTGTGACAGACCCACAAAAAGAATTATCTTAATTCAAAAAATCTGACATCTGAATTGTTTTCAAGCGTAAGAATAATGAGTTAAATATTTCGTAAACATCAAGTACCAAGTATTAGAAGTAAACACTTTTAAATCATATATTTATGTGTTTAGATTACCTTTTTTGACATTGTTCTGATCTTGAGAAATTGACGTTTATACAAGTTTTCTAAACTGCAAGTATAATTAATTTGTATAATTCAAAATCGATCCCTATCCTAGAAGGTTCACATCTAGTTTATAAAGAAATGCTTTAATAAGTCACATTTGCATTAAGATTATCATTACTTCAAATATCACTCCTTCATTTTATGATAATAGATGGCGCGACATGAACAAATGTATAGCATTGTACAACATACTACCGAACAGTAATTGGTCAACACTCTTAGCTGGAGATATTATATCAAGGAAATAGACACCGATATATTTACCAACATATTTCATGGTTATGAAATATTACCACAAAATACTCGTAAACTTCTAGTAAGTCAAAGTTCAATTGGAAAACGTTCTCTTTCGAGCATTAGTTCGCCTGCAGTAAGATTCTTATTATGCGTTATTTTATTAACGTAAAAACATACCCAGAAACCTTTTGCAAGCGTGAAAAACAACGGAAAATACCTCTAAAAATTCAAGGAAATCACTTCAATAATACAGTTTATAGGATTTAATACACTACGCGACACTTTACACATAAGTTCAAGTTTAATGTCACCATAAACCAAAGAAACTTTAATAATATATTTTTAGAAATACATAGATCTGTGTTCCATACACATATTTATTGCTTGAACATATATCTAGGACACACAACATTTACACACGAAAGTGAAATTTCAATATATTGTAACCATTCAAGATACTCTTATCTGTCAAGTTGAAGTTGTTGATTTCAGAATTGTGTATTTGTTATTCTTTTGCCATATTTCTGTCTTTCGAACTTATACTTTTAAATATCTTTGTTCACATTTGTAACCAACCTGTTGGTGTTTTAAAATATTCTTAATCATCAAGTTGGTATTATTAATTATCTCTAACCACCCTGTTGGTGTTTTTAGTTATTATTAACCACCCTGTTGCTGTTTGTAGTTATTATTAACCACCCTGTTGCTGTTTGTAGTTATTATTAACCATAAAGTTGGTATTTTTAATTATCTCTAACCACCCTGTTGCTGTTTTTAGTTATTATTAACCATAAAGTTGATGTTTTTTATTATCTCTAACCACCCTGTTGCTGTTTTTAGTTATTATTAACCATAATGTTGGTATTTTTAATTATCTGTAACCACCCTGTTGCTGTTTTTAGTTATTATTAACCATAAAGTTGGTATTTTTAATTATCTATAACCATCTTGTTAGTGTTTTTAGTTATTATTAACCATAAAGTTGTATTTTTAATTATCTATAACCATCCTGTTAGTGTTTTTAGTTATTATTAACCATAAACTTGGTGGTTTTAGTTATTATTAACCATAAAGTTGGTATTTTTAATTATCTATAACCATCTTGTTAGTGTTTTTAGTTATTATTAACCATAAACTTGGTACTTTTAATTATCTTTAACCATCCTGTTGGTGTTTTTAGTTATTATTAACCATAAAGTTGGTATTTTTAATTATCTGTTGGTGTTTTTCATAGTCCATAGCCATGATATTAGTGCATAGCTTTATCTTTAATGATCATATAAAAATGAAATATCCAAGCTCAATCGATTATTCACCAGTCTATCACACGACCAAGACGTTTGACACCCAGGGACAAAGGTTATTTAGTTATAACCAATGAGGATATTCTCATTTCGCCTAGTAAATATTAGATATTGGTATCTTTTTAGAATCCAAAAATATCTAGGTTAATATTTAAAATCGAAATAATTTTGAATGGATTTTATTGTATGTTAGCCGGGAATGGTTAAGAAGTCATGGTACGTGGTACTTTGTGGAATTCACAACTTTTGCATAAGATGACCAGCTAACAATGTATCATGACTTGCAAAACTTCCTCCGGTAAAAATGATATCAATCTTTGTATGTAAGCTATCACACGCTGAGGGGAATTAAATTTTTAATTAATATTACACTTTATTTGTTTTTTTTAATAGTTTATCGATATTGTGATTTAAATGTTAAGTAGCGTTTGTTTTCAGTTTCTCGTGACGTTAACAATTACAAGAAAGTCCTAATACATTCGACTATTATACGAATAAAAAAAACTCGTCTATGCGGACAATAACAGCATGCTTACGTGACATTATCGAGGAAATAATTACTTAATAAGCTTGAAACTACCTAATTAAACATCTACATATCTCCAAATATTCCAGCAAATGTCTTACGAAGATTTTTCATTGTATCATCTGGATCTTCTGGTCCTTTCTCTGGCACAGGCTGGGAATCCCGCCGAAATAATGAACTAGTCCCTCGGTCTGGAGGACGCGGTGGTACTACTGGCACTGCTGGTTGACCCGGACGCTGCATCGGGGGTTGCTGGCTAGGGCGTTGTTGTGTAGGCATCTGTACTGTAGGAGTTGGTGTTTGCCCTGATTCTGCGCTCCCGATTGAAGATTGAGAACCTCGTCGAGGAGCTGTTCCAGTGGAAGAAGGAGCACTAGCTTGGGGTGGTGCTGGTGGCACCCTCTGTTGAGTTACATTGCCACTTATTTGTGGTGCAGCTGATGGTGTTCTCTGCTGTGGGGCATTGCTACCAGCTTGCGGTGGTGGTGGCGGTGGTCCCCTTGGTTGAGGTGCTCCAACTTGTGATATAGGTGGTGCCCTCTGTTGAGAGTTATGGCGTTGCACTTGCGGTGTTCCAACCTTTAAAAACAGGATAAACAAAAAATGTATTGTTTGTGAGACTGAATATTATTGTAGCTTTTAAAATATTTCTAAATATAGTAGCTTCTTCTATAAGCCAGTTAACCGAAGAGTGTAATTGAAATTAACGCAGCCTATAAAGTAAAAACCCAGACAATTATTTTCACACATTGTCTTACAATATGAAAAATGGTATTGGCACGTGCGTAGACAGGATGAGTATGGCGGGTGCGATCGCATCCCTCCTAAATTGCACCTATATATATATATGCAGAGCATATTTAAAACGTGTAAAAATAGCCTAAAGATGCACCATTTTCAGTGAATAATACAAAACATTTTTGAAGGTTCATGCCCCTCGCCCCCCAGTACGTCTTTGCCACTTATTTCCTTTATTGCTTTAAAAGTAGTAACCCCTTTTATGGACATCTTCTTACGTATAAAGACGACTAGTGAAGTGTAGAGTCATATTTGTATGCTGCCTTCCCATTCTTGGCCTTTCTTGTTTTATACTATCAATGTATTATCTTTAGTGCTTCACTCATATAACACAGAACATTAGAACGTGAAAATGATTTTGTCAAAATCTGTTAATGTGTATTTTAATCAACCAAAACGGAAAATAAATAGTTAAAATAATACCTTTTCCACTTTTCTTTCCATAGAACCCTAATATTTCAAAATATCATATTGAAGTGTTCCAGCCTTACACGTACGTTGTACAAAAACACCTACCTTCTCACCTTTACATATATTTTCTATAAAAACGTTATGTTCATATGACAAGTCAGGAGAAACTGTTTCTATAGTAATATTTCCCAATCATGTTTTGCCAGTAAGCCAAGATGTATTACATACACATCACCATTATAAGAAGCCTAACTCCATTTCTTTGATTTGCTGACCCAAGTTGTACTGATGAACCTTGAATGGTCGAAACTGCAGTCAACAATAGAGGGCACGGCCAATCAAAGAATGCATTAGGCGTCACAGATTATATTTCCAATTTCACCTTTGAAAAAAAAAATGAAATAAATCTGTAAAGTATTCATTAAACAGCTGATCCGTTTAATAACATCCCATAATAACTTAGGTGCATAATATTATTCACACTCTTACAGCAGGTTAGGTTACTATAAATATTATATAAACATCAGCATTATAAGAAGCCTAACAGTATTTCTTGACTTGCTGACTTGAGTTGTGCTGTGTGTGCGGCGAATCAAAAAATGAATTGGGCCTCTACGTCACAGATTATATTTTCAATTTCACCTTTGGTGAAAAGAAAGACATTTGTAATATATTCATTGGCAATGATGCTTTATTTTCACAACCAAGAAAGATATACCATTCAAGGAAGTAAGTGCAGAGCTACTGGTAGTCAGCTTATTGAATAAATAATTACTGAATCAAACCAAATATCTCTTATAAACTGTTCTCGAGTGACTTTAATAAAGATTTTCAGGGAGTCGGTCATGGACCTCAAGCCGCCTATTATTATAACTATAGATCTAGGGGAGAGAGAGAGATCTTAATCTTAATTTATTTAGATCAGTAACGCTCAAGAAAACCTTAGGATGAAGCATTGTAAAAGTTAGGACTATGACTTGTAGAATTGGAATACAACAAAAATGGGCTAATAATGTAGTTTACAAAACGTGGTAACCTACCACTGGCTGATCTATTGCCTGAGTAATGTGATCACCTCTCGGTTGGTCATCGGTAGCAGTAGTCCCGCTTAAACTTGACCTAGGTGTTTGCTTGCTAAAGGAAGAAAGAAAAAAAAGGATATAAGCACTCGAATATCTATGTGTATAATTTTGTGTTCTCAGGATATAAGCACTCGAATATCTATGTGTATAGTTTTGTGTTCTCCCTACGTTTTCCTCTATAAACTAAGAGTTGAATGTAAAGTAAGTATTCCAGAAGTACCATTCAATGCCATAGCTAGAGTTCATCATTACTCTACACAAATCATCAATTACCTTTATATTTCAAACATTAAGCAATAAACATCTTACAGATGGGTTTCTTCCCTATAATTACGTAAGATTGGCTAAAGAAAGATATATCTTTGACTTAAATCATACACTTTAGTATCTTTCGTGCTTACATGTGGATTACCAAAAATCGGGTACGCAAGAAATTCCTATTATCGCAATAAACCTTTAATTTTTTTTATATGTATATTCAGTTTAAAGTTTATTGCAGCTACTTAAGTACTGCAACGAGAATCATGATTTCTAGATTGGAAGGTTCATTTTTTTCCTCTACAAATCATATATATTTAAACCACGTGACGTACTCTAGACCCAGGAATCCAGCCAATGAAGAGGTGACAGAACCTTGACGTGAATGCGACTCACGAGAGTGAATGGGTTGTTTCCCTTTGGTGTTTCTTTCAGTATGTCCAGTTTCTTGTTTCTCCACTGGTGGTTCTTGAGGTCTCTCACCACTGATGGGTACAAATTTCATTATATATTTTAGTTTAATCATTAGCTTCCTTTATGATTCAGTCTGATAAGATGGAAATGTCTAAAAACGTTCATTGAGAAACTACATTAGATAGTTCCTTGAAGTTTGGCTTCAGGGTTTTCTGTAATAATATGGAGTGTAACACTTCTGTTAGAAGAATGTTTCACTACTTGTTAAACTTCCTGTTACATCTCATTAGCAGAACAATTCGTTACAGTTTTGGTACAAATCACATACAACTGTGTGGTCGTAATATCTACAAAATTGCAGATCACATACAACTGTGTGGTCGTAATATCTACAAAATTACAGATCACATACAACTGTGTAGTCGTAATATCTACAAAATTACAGATCACATACAACTGTGTGGTCGTAATATCTACAAAATTACAGATCACATACAACTGTGTGGTCGTAATATCTACAAAATTACAGATCACATACAACTGTGTGGTCGTAATATCTACAAAATTACAGATCACATACAACTGTGTGGTCGTAATATCTACAAAATTACAGATCACATACAACTGTGTGGTCGTAATATCTACAAAATTACAGATCATATATAACTGTATGGTCGTAATATCTACAAAATTACAGATCGTACATAACTGTGTGGTCGTAATATCTACAAAATTATAGATCACATACAACTGTGTGGTCGTAATATCTAAAAATGTACAAATCATATACAACTTTAAAACATTTCAATGAAAGCTATTGATACTCTTCAGGAAGCATGCAGAAGCAGAAATGTGACATTGCAAGGCGGGGTGGAAAAACTCTTAGTTCCGATCAGGATATGATTTGTCAAATTTCCAGTTGGGGAGGGATAAAATACCCAAACAAGAAAACATATTGGCTGGCCGTGACAAATCTGTACAGAGAGACGATCAGTAAGTTACGGAACCGACTATTAAAAAATACATATTTTAATATATATATATTGTTTTATTACACAACATTCACGACAAGTACTTGCTCTTTTACGCGGCATAATGTCAAGAACTGATACAACAATAAAGGAAATATTGTACAAATTTTTATAGGGGGCGCTAGTGTTAATTTTTTTTTCTGTCAGATGGGATAAATCCACCCGGGGATGATAATTGAAAGTGTAGTCCAAAGGATAAAGAAAGCAGAGCCAGGGGAATCCCCCCCCCCATCACGTCGCACCTAGGTTCTAATTGCAGTGTTGCAAGACGTTTACACTGCGAGTTCAAGATTTACGATGCAGTTTAATAGCTTCACATCGTTTTCTTTTCACTTTTAACTTACCTCACGAGAGGCTTGCAAAACGTTTGCATTCTCTGAACAACAAGGTCTGAGATCTGTCGACGGTCTTCTTCTTGGCTGTCACCTAGTAGCGTCATGGATGAGTCGTTCACCTGTGGGTTTTTTTGTTAAAGAAATATTATAATAGCTAACTTGTTATGTCTGTAAGTTTTAGAACATCGGGTTTGCCTTCTCGTATTTGTTTCTTATTTAAGCATTGGGTCTACACACTTTTTTCCTTTTTTTTTATTTAGGTTATGGACAAAATTAGAAAGGAGAATAATTAAGTGCGGAGCTTGGACTGTCAAATTGAACGACACTTTATGTGCACGTGAAGATTAGCGGACTCTCGGGTTCTCGTCTGGTTAAGGTTTCCCTTGCTAATTCCATTGTATCTATCTATATATATATAT